GGGGAGACCCGTTTACAGGTTCTGTACATTCAGTTCTTTGGTTCTAACGGACATTTCAGCCTCACGTAGCTGCTGGTGTGACTGCGGAGCTTCTGTTTCGTGGACTTTCACTGTACAGTGTGTTAATTATTACCAACAGCATAAACTGGCTGATATCTGGCCGACTAATCGTCTGAGTCACTGAAGGCCGGCAGGATCTGACCTTAGTGTCGACTCACTCCCAGCGACCGAGTGCAGAAAGTGATTCTTACAAAACAGAACACTCAGAACAACTCGAAACTTTGACCTGTTGACCTCGTCTTTTCTTTTGTTTTTCCAGTAAAATAGTTTACGGTTATGATGATGATTAAAGAACTGTGGCGTCGCTGCAGCTGCAAACGGTTCATTTTCACTTTGTCCTGTGGAAAAAGCAAAAAAACCCAAAATGTTGTTGTTGCGCTGGAGTCATGCGAGGAATGTCTGGGTGCCCTCGTTTCTGTTTCTGAAGTGGAGCCTCTCGAGCTCTCAGCAGCGTTTGATTATGTTTCTGCCCCGGGGACCTATTAGGCTCCGAAAACACCGACGGATATTTATCTGTGCTGCTAAATGTGGACGACAGAGACGGAAGCAGAGGGAATGTGCTGGAGACGAGGACGCAAAGATGCTTCTTCACACTGAAGATGGCAGATATCGCTGATAAACAGCTAAGAGCTTACATGTCTGTTGTCTGAGAGGCAAAGTCAGCCTCATGCGTAGTTAAACTTCAACATGAAGACGACATTCAGACCCTAAGAACACCAGATTGTCTCCAACCAATAAGGTCACGCTAACATTTGGTTAGACCATCTAAACCTGGAGCCTTGTCCGTCCACACATCAGGTTCTACTTAGAGCCTCAACAGTTGATGACATGTCGACCAAAGACTGTATTTTAGTAGAAACATGGATCCATCCATAGACACTTACAGGAACTTCCTGGGGATCAATACCACCACTGTTTGAAAATGTTGCATTTTAAAATAAACAATAGTTTTAAGGCCCAATAATTAAAGATTTGGCCTAAATTGCTCAAAACAAAACGTCTATGAACTTAGAATTAGTCCAAATTGACTCACAAATGCCCAAAAATGATACAAAACTGGTCAAATTGAAGATCATTAGCATTGTAGTGTGTCAGAATATGCAAAAACTGGAGCTTTGTCCTTCCACACATCAGATCCTGCTGATGCTAAAGCCTCAACAGTTGATGAAATGTCGACCAAAGACTGTATTTTAGTAGAAACATGGATCCATCCATAGATATAAACACTGACAGGAACTTTCTGAGGACGCAACACCATCTTTGTTTTGAAATGTAGCATTTTTTTTGCATTCATAGTTGGCATTTTTGACTATTTTGAACAAGTTTTGAGTCAATTTTGGCAAATTGTTTCAGCAATTTTGGACAATTTTGGACAGTTTTATGCCAAATAGTGAAAAACTGGAACCTTGTCTTGTCCAACTTTCCACACATCAGATTCTACTGATGTTCAGTAGAAACATGGATCCATCCATATATATATATATATATACACACTGACAGGAACTTTCTAGCATCGATTGCAAATGTTGTATTTTTGTCAATTAAGTGCCAACAAATAAGAATATTTGGTGAAAAACAACGTTAGCCGAATAGCACTTTGACGTTTTTTTGATGATTACATGTTTGTCTTTAAGGTCCTCGGTGACGTGAACAAACCGACATTTAAATGGTTTAAATCCTGCATATGTGGTCGCTACGATAAGGACTGATGTTGGTCGAAACAAAATCAGTGAAAATAGAAAATATTCTCAATGTATAGTCGTGTTTTGTCTGATTTCTTGATGAAAGCGTTTTAGTCTTTGAGCTCCTTTGAGGTGGCGTCATGTGACCAAAGTGACATCTAAAGGGTTCAGATCATGAAAGTGTATTTGGGTCGCTGTGATGAAAAATAAAAATAATGAATATACAGTAACTTTATGACCGTTTTTAGACATTTTAGCCTTTAAGGTACTTGATTAAAAATGTCATTTAAAACATTGAAATCCTGCAAATGAGTGAATATTTGGTCGCTGTGATTTGGTGAAAAGAGCAGCGGAAGGCAGTTTGTCTAGTACTTATGTTTTTGTCTTGAAGCTCCTCGGTGTGACGTTTAAAGGCCTGCTGCATGATAATATTCTTCTGTTTTCATGTTTCTTGTCTAGTTTTTCAAACGTAACACCAAAACAACATTTTTTCTCCACACAAATCAACATCTGCTGCACTTAAGAACCTAAAAAAAGGAACTAACTTGAATTTAAAACACGTGAACCACAGCGTTGTGATCATCGGAGGGCCTGAAATATTCATAGATGTGTGTTTTTATTTAGCGCATGGGGCTGTTTGCACAATAAATCAACTATAAATATTGTAATAATGTTTAGTTTTTCTAACTGAAAACCAAAATAATGGAGAAAATGAGATGTTTTTTACCACATAAATCAACATCTGCTTCACTGGAGAGTCCAAAAGTGACCCCAGTCTGACTTTATAAATCGTCATGGCTTTAAAATTAAGACTTGTCCTCACTAAACGTGACCTGAAGCCTCCAGACCAGCAGCACTCGTCTGTTTTTCTGTTTTCAACCCTGAATCAACCGTCTTCATCAACGGCAGAATACAGGAACACTGAGCCGTTGTGCTTTAAGCAAACATTCGTCGTCTTTTCTCCGCTCCAGCTGCACAAAGACGAGTTTATTCTGCGTCCACAATGGACCAGAACGCCGCCTGCGGCCCAACAGTGGACAGAGACGAGCAGACAGCGAGACAGTGTCGAGGAATCTTTCATGGCGTCGCGTCAGCCTCGAGTCGGCGCGTAAAACTCCAGAAGTGAAGTACAGTTACTCAAGTACGAGACTCGAGTACGGCTAAGATGTGCTGCACTGGACTTATGAAGTCATTTGTTGAGTTAAATGCACCATTACAGGATAAACATGACCCACCAAGGGACAACACATGCAGACTAGCATTCATGCTAAGTGTGGGACATCTACAACATGAGGTTTATTGGGTTGATTCATTCATGTGCACTTTGCCTTTTAAATAAGAAAAAAAGGTTTAAATGAACCTTTTAAGTTGCACACATTATTTTATTTGCATTGACAAAATAATGTAACTTGAGATTGTGTGTAATCTAAATCATAATTTATGTTTTAGTTCATTTAAAACTGAATTCAAGTCGAGCTAACTTCGTGAAATTAGCTTGATAAGTAAATTTTTCGCCACCTTAAATTCAGGATTTCTATCTGAACAAAGGAATTTAAGAATGAACATCAAGTCTTTTACTAATAAATTTCACTGAAACAGTGATTTTGTAAATATTTCCAGCTGTGACGTGATCAGTAGTGGGTTTATACAGAGATTAGGATGCACTTTATTTCATCCGTTTAATGGAATATATATATTTTTCACACTTTTATTATATATATATTTTTATATTTTACAGTGAAAGTTGACCATTTTCTCTCCAGTTTAGCAAAAAAGAATAAAAAATCTTTTTTGTGACAAATCTGCACACTGGAGAGTAAAAGCATTTATCATTTTTGTTATTTAAAATTTAAACATCATGTGTTGAAATACGTAATTGCAGTTCAAAATAATCAGAAAATGTGCTTCCAATTATGAAATAACTGGTCATTAATATGCCTTCTCCTTTAACTCAGTACAGTTTGTCAGTTTAGCGTGTTTTTATTAGAAATTAAAAAAGATTAATGCAAAAAAAACAACAAAAAAAAAACAACCCCCCCACAAAAAACCCATATTTTTTTTAGTGCACTTTGCAAATTAAATCTGAATAATAATAATAATAATAACAATAACAATAACAATAACAACAATAAGAAGAAGAAGAAGAAGAATAAATCTTAGGGTTGCAATTATCAATTATTTTCATTATTAATTTTTATTGTTTAATGTATAAAATATAAAATTATTTTGTATAGTTTTGTAATTTTTATAATTTTGTTTCAAACACCTTTTAAACTCTACATATTCTGGACACGGTTGTTTTGAAGTAATTTGATTATGAAATGTGAACACATCTTCAAAAAGGTAAAAATTTAAATTAAAATTTAAAAAAAAAAAAAAAAAAGGATTCTAAACTCAGGTTAAATCACAAAATCCAGTCTTGAATTGGATCAGAAACTCAATATGTGACGTTTAAAAGTTGAACAAAATGTAAAACTGGTCAAATGATGGAACGTTTGTTTGATGTAGAATTTTTAGATTTATTCATATTTTGCACTTTTTGTGTTTAACTGTGAGCTAAAAACAACCAGTTTATTCAGATGAAACACCATAAACAGCTTAAACAACAAAAACATGCGTTACGTCTTGTTCTGCTGTTTCCTGTCTCTTCGTTCTTCAGCTGGAACTCTGAAAGTCTGGATTTATTCATCCTAAAACGTTCATTATTTAGCGGGAAAATCTGATCCAAGGTTGAAAAACCGGCATGTTGGATCAACTGATCCTGGATCTAGAAAGACGGGATTTTCAAATCCTGATCCTGAGCTAACTTCTCTAACTGTGGTTTAAAAAAGACGTGAAGAAGGCAGTAAATCGTCTTTTTTTAAAACTTGAAAGCATCACGAGACGATAGAGAGACGACAAAACTAAGTTCTAATGCACAACTGAAGTAAGTTTTCTGACTTTTTTTGAAAAACATTTGAGAATTTAACCTCCAAACTTCTCGAGTGTTTTCTTGTTTCAGGCAGAAAGATGTTAATCTATTTTTAGTGAAACCATCGACAACTTTGAAACACAGAAATGTGACAAAATCCACAACCGGTTTCCTTTTTTAATAGTTTTTTTTCTCCTAAACTGAAGCGTTTTGATGTCATTTAGATGAAAAACATGAATAAATCCTCTAGAATGAAGAAATCTGCTGCTTTTCTGTAACACATGAACCTCATTCAGCTCCAGCTTCAGGTTTACAGTCGTCTATAATTATCATTTTTATCATAAAGCCTCCAAACGTCTGACATCAGAAAACACGTCGTAACTCACTCAGTTTTCGTTTGTTCATGGCTCACGGGTGGAGGAGGCTGGTTCTGCCGAGGCCCTGGAGCATGGAGAGGCTCTTGAACTCGTTCCTCGGCTCAACTAACGAAGCTGCTTCCTCCTTCTGAGCTCAGCGGAAACGTTGTTCTGATGCAATCAGGTGACGAGTCCACTTCTGGAAACGTGCAGCGGTTTGGTGAAAGCTCTTGTTAGAAACAACACATGAACCACAGCGTTGTGATCATAATAAGACCTGAAATATTCATATATCTGTGTTTTTATTTAGTTCTGTTTGCATCATAAATCAACTATAAATATTGTATTATTGTTTTAGGGCTGCAGGGTGGCTCAGTTGTTAGCACTGTTGCCTCGCAGCAAGAAGGTCGCCGGTTCGCGTCCCGGTGGGGGCACCGGAATCGTTCTGCGTGGAGTTTGCATGTTCTCCCCGTGCAGCGTGGGTTCTCTCCGGGTTCTCCGGCTTCCTCCCACACAGTCCAAAAACATGTTGAGGCTAATTGATGATTCTAAATTGTCCGTAGGTGTGAATGTGAGTGTGCTTGGTTGTCTGTCTCTAAGTGTAGCCCTGTGATAGACTGGTGACCTGTCCAGGGTGTCCCCTGCCTTCACCCTGAGTCAGCTGGGATAGACTCCAGCCCCCCCGCGACCCTAGAGAGGATGAAGCGGTGTATAGATGATGGATGGATGGATATTGTTTTATTTTTCTAACCAAAGACCAAAATAATGAAGAACACAACATTTTTTACATCATAAATCAACATCTGTTTCACTCTAGAACCTAAAAATAACCCCAGCTTGACTTTATATACTTATAAATTTACATGTATTTAACTCTAAAGCCATATTTTAACGATAAATATTCCCCTGTCCCCCATCATTCTTGTCTCATATGCCTAAATCAAGGCTAAAATAATCAAGAAAACAGATGTTTTTTCCACATAAATCAACATCTGTGTCACTTAAGAGCCTAAAAAATGACGCCAACTTGAAGTGAACACGTGAACCACAGTGTTGTGATCAGAGTAAGGCCTGAAATATTCATATATGTGTGTTTTGGGGTGCAGTACATTCATTTTTTTATGATTTGAGAGCAAAACAATGAAGAAAACGACATTTTTTTTACCACATAAAACAACATCTGCTTCACTCTAGAGCCCCAAAATGACACCAGCTTGACTTCATATACTTAGAAATGAACATGTATGTTTTATAAACTGGATTTAACTGCATAAATCAATCTCTTTTTTTTTTTTTTTTTAATAATTCTTGTCTTGTATCCAGAAACCAAGACTAAAATAGTGAAGAAACCGACTGTTTTTTCTGCACAAATCAACATCTGCTTCACTCAAGAGCCTAAAAAATGAGAATAACATAAATTCACATGTTTATAAGTAAATATATGTTTAGTTTACATCCATGTGAGCATTATACTCTGTGGACGATAAATAGGTTATAAACAGTTTTTCATACTTTTTATTTTGACCAAAAGAATCAAGAAAACAATTTTTTTTTTAACATCTGAGAACCACAAAATGACACCAAGTTGAATTTCTGCGATCATAAATAATATATTTACCTTTTTAAATGACACCGTTAACACCATTACACTGTGTTTATCATACATTAACTATAAATATTCCACTTTCTTCACACTTCTTGCCTCGTTATTATAACTTAGCACCAAAATAATCAAGAAAAAAAACTTTTTCCCGCATAAATCAACTTCTGCTTCATGTAACAGCACAAAAACTGACACCAACTTGAATTTATATTTAAACTTATACATTTCTCCATTAATATGTGTATATTTCTAGTTTAAAAACATATTATTCATCCCTTTGGGTGTGTTATACTGCATGGACTTATACATAAATATTTTCCTTCTTTCGTACTTTTTATTCAGGTTTTAGACCAAAATAATCAAGAAACAAGTTTTATTTTTTGCACATAAATCAACATCTGCTTCAAATGAGAGCCTCAAAAAATTAAAACTCATTGAATATTTAATTTCTGCCTGATTTAAGCGCTAAACAAGATAGTTTGAGTTTTATAATGCAGCTTTAATGGAGCAGAAAACATCTGGATCTACAATCTGAACCTTTATCTTCCACTTTGCGAAGCTTTAACTCATTTATTGGGTCGAGGTTTTGTCACTTTGTAAGTTTGAGTTTCAACAGAAAATGTAGTAAAACAGATTACAACAGCAGCGTTTCCTCCTCCTTTAGAATAATCTCACTTCTTCTTTCAGTTCTTTAAACGTTTGGGTGGAGCTCGGCTGTGGAACCAACCGGCTTGGGTCAAAGCAACACGATGAAACACTCGAGTTAAAATGAAAGAAAAAGGACAAAAGATCACATCTGGGGCAATTCAGAAGTGTTTTAATGACGTCTGAGAGGAGAAACGTGTTGATTTGATCTGTAAAATGAGGATTAAAGAGGAAGCACAGAATAAAAGCTTTAGAGCAGCCGGAGCTCCACGTTCAAGCTGCTGCATGAAATATTACATGAAACTGCTTTTTATCTCCATCATCACATTTCCTGCCGACGTTTCCTGATAAAGAGTCTAAAAAACAACTTAAATCACTCAGTCAGGGCAGTTTTTATGTTTCCTGAAGTGACGTCAAAAAGCCTGAGATGTGAGAAATGTGTATGTTTAATAAACCTGAAAATAATCAGACAAGTTCTGAGCATTTAGAGACATGAGGCACAAGAAAACACAACGCTGGACTAAATAAACTAAAATCAGTCTTGTTGAGTTCAGACAAGTTCTAATAAAACGATGTTCAACCAACAAACTGAGTTCAGATGTATTTGTAGTGACTTGATGAGCAGCAGCATGAAGTATTTAAGTTGGTTTTTATTTCACGTTATTTAGAAAGAAATATTTTGTGCTTCATTAATTTAATCCATAACATTTAATTAAAAACCTGTCTACTAGTTTTTGCAGATTAAGTTAAATGGAGTTTTTCATTATATTTATAAACACAATTTTTAAATTGACAAATGTTTTAAAAATGAACTTGTCCTGTTAGATTTTTACCTATTTTTCTTTCTTTTGTTGTTGTTTTTTTTTTTAAAGAAATAATTAATTCAACAACAGAATTGCTCTTAACAAACTTTTTTTTTTCTTTTTTAAATGTTGAAGTGCGATTTCCCAAATGAGTTGGAGGGATTTTTAAAAAGTATTTTAATAAAAAATAAAGATGAACTCACATTTTTGCCCGTACATTAAAAAAAAAAAAAAAAGCCAAACATGTAGTTGAGTCAACTTAATTTTTTTAAATAGTTGACTCAAAGATTTGAGCTTAAAATATGAAAATACTTTTAAAAATCCCTCTAAGAAAACCTATAAACTCACATTGTTGATTGCAAATGATGAATAAAAAAAAAGCTAAACATGTCGTTGAAATAGCTGTAAATTCAAACACTTGACTTCACTGAATGAAAATACTTTAAAAAAAATCTCTCTAACGCAGAAAAACACTTTCAGGATGAAGTTTGAAGCTTCTGTTTATTTAATAATAATCTTTAGCTGAAGAGTAAAAGCTAGTTCCTTGAACTCCATTTAGTTTGTCGGTTGAACAGGAGTTCATTAAAAGTTGTCGCAGCTCAACAATAATGATGTAAACTCACTAAATGTAATTGTTTTTGGAGGAAAGGTTTTATTTTCCTGATTCCTTTTTTGATTAGATCGTGTATGAAGCAGATTAATATTTGTTTTATTCGTTTTATTTCTTGTGGACGTCTGTAACTCGCTCTTTAGTTTTTTTACTTGTGGACAACTTCTACAATCATAACATCAGGATTTATATTCATCCAAAATCTGTTCAGTAATTTTATTTTATTTTGTAGAACCAGTATTTATGTATATTTTGGTTCATTTGTATTATTATACTTCTTTTATTTTTCTAATTTTTGCACTGATAAAGGCTCCTTTTATCTCATCTCATCTTCTGGAGTCGTTACTGAGGACGGTGACGCTTCTGCAGCTTCTTTGAACCCTGATCAGATCGGTTCTAAACGAACTCAGACGTTCCAGATTCAGCCTCGTTAACTTTCAGGTTCTTTTCTGTCCTTCGTGAGCCGAAGCCTTCGTTAACTTTTACGACCTCCAGACGGGTCAGAGCTTCCCGACCGTTCGTCCCTTCAGGCTCTGGACTGAAGACGCCGAAGCTTTTGAAGTCATGAAGCCAAACTTTGGACCTCTGAGCCTTTAAACTGAACATCTGTGGACAAAGCAAAAGTAAAGAAAATCTCTCGTTTATCTGGTTTCTTGCTGGTTTTTGGTGTTTCTTTTGGCATTTTTCTTGTTTCGTGCCTTTTTTAAAATTTTGCTTTATGTTTTGATTTTGGCCTTTTATATCTTGTTTTTGTTGTTTAGTGTGAAGTTTGTGTGTCTCTGGGACAGTTTTAGTCTCTTTGTGTCATGAAACTATGAGACATCCCATAATACTGATGATGAAATTACAAAACAATCAGATTTATTCTTCAGACTGTGACACCTGGATGGATGTAGAATTGGTTTTGTTGGTCTCATTTGTCTTTTTTCTGCCTGATTCTTGTTGTTTTTACTCATTGTTGTCATTTTTTGTCTCCTTTCTGTCATTTCACATCAGTTTTGTGTTGTTTTGTGTCTTTAGGACATTTTTTTTCTAATTGTGGTCATTTTGTTTGTCTTTTTTTTTTGCCATGTAGTGTCTTTTCCTTGTGTATTTTTTTTTTTTTCTTTGTTTCTCGTCTGGTTTTTGAGTGTCTCATTTTCTGGTTTTATTTAAATTCACTTGCTTTGTGTTTTGATTTTGGCATTTTGCAGCTTGTTTTTTCTTGTTTTGTATACTTTTTGTCATTTTGCGTCTCTCTTTCTCAGTTTGTGTCTCGTTTTTCTGGTTTCTTGTCTGAATTTTTGTTGTTTTTACTCATTTTTGTCATTTTTTTTGTCTCCTTTCAGTCATTTCACATCAGTTTTGTATTGTTTTGTGGTACTTTGTGTGTCTTTAGGACATGTCCCTACTTGTGGTCATTTTGTTTGTCTTTTTTGCCATTTAGTGTCTTTTGCTTGTGCTTTTTTCCTTGTTTCTT